CAAGCACCCTCGAGGCAGTTACACAGTGCTTACAACTGTCTCTGGAAGTGAAAGCACCAGAAAATAAAGTAATTCATACGCAGCTGTCATCCGTACGCAAGGAAGTAAGCACAAGATGCCGAACACCCTTAGCAGGATGCAGCGCACCCTTCATGCGACTCGCCGAATATCTCACGACGCTTCGCGCTTAGTGATGTGAGAGCCTGGTCCGGTGAGAACCCGGCGTGCTCCGTCCCGGCTTTGTAGGGGTGCGAGGTCAATGGTCGAACGACTACGGCATGCACGACTATGAGTGCACCCCCCCTGCCACATGCTCCATTGTGGGAGATTCCGGTATTCGGCTGCACGTGCGACCTGGTCGCCTTCGAAAACGGCAAGCGGCAGGGCCTGTGACCACGGACACAAGCGAAAGGTACACGAATGAATGCGGAAAATCCACACCCGAACAACAACGATAGTAATGAGGGAAATTCTCTTAGGAGTGTTTGCATCGGCGATCCTTGATTGCCTACCGTCAGGGAGCAAGTTTGACGTCCCACTGGAGTTCGATTTCCCTGTTGACGAGGAGGACGGAGACGTCAACGACAGCGAACTACTTAACGGGGAGCTCGACGAGTACAACCAATCCATGAGGGAAGCGTACCAGGCGAGTGGGACGCTCTGCATGCCCACCCAGTGACAGCCAGGAGACAACCTTCTGTGCGACCCGACCCAACGCCAGCTCGGCGTATGCCATATCATGCCATCTCCGATAAAGTGCTCGAGTTCGAGATAACTTCAATCAACTGCTGGCCTGCGTGTGTTGCTTTGGGGTTGTCAACGAGCTCTGAATGGCTGGGGGCCTTCGTAGGGACTATAGCACGTGCGCACGATTCCAGCCACAAGGCATCCTGCGCGGACGGGTTGAACAGTGCATGGCAGGCATACGAACTTGGTTGAGGTTGAATTACGTTCCGCGGTCTGTCCGTAACGGTGGGGTCTGTTATGGCCAACTTGTTTTTCGATAAGTGATACGAAGTACATACCTGTTTGACGCAATATCGCTCCGACCGCGCAGGTTCTACAACGATACAAAGCTGGGGACGCGTGGAATCTACTCGGAGACGAGAACGTGAGCGTTGTACACGAAGGCGGTGTGTCTTACGTGCGAGCGAAAATCGGCCGCTTAAGTCAGGGCTGTCTTGCGAAGAGCATCCTGCTGGAGGACGCGGTCCTGACGGAACGGGTGAGCAGATTCTGTCGCCCATACAAGGAACAGGTCGAGTTTGTCCACGCTAGCCGGAGGACTCTTACGTTCCTCGTGCTGCCAACCTCTTCGTCTCACAGCGCCATGACGAGCGTGGCCGTGAGGGTGGGAGTGGAAGGGGTCGCGGCGGTGACCGCGTCCGTGCGGCGGCAGGTGGAACAGGCCATCCTGACGGCGGCGATCGCGCCGCAGGTGCTGCATATCCCGCCGAGGAGCGCGGAAGGAGATCCGGTCGGCGGCGAGAGGTGCCCGTCGGACACGTGCGACCTCACGGCGAACGGAGGGGGAGAGACGAGGGTTGTCATGCTAACGGTCGCAAGCGGAACAGTCGTGTCCGTGTGGTTCTCCCGGAATCTAAAGCAAAAGACGCGCCTCATGGTGCTGCCCGGCCAGTTCTCTCTAGCGACGCTCGACAGCCGCCTGCTCCTCCCGAAAGACGCTGGTGGTCTGGGAAGCACCGCTCTTTCGGCCTCAACAAGCGAGCCATCGTCTGGGCAACATGCTCCCATCTCGACCATCTCGTCCACGGGCGAACCGGTCAGCGCCAAAGTCGAGAATGAAGAAAGCGATTGATATGGATGTTGGCGACGCTGTAAACACCGCAAAAAGGGCGAGATGTTGGGACGATTCCGGGCGCGCAGCCTTCCTGACGCAGGCGCTCAGACATTGCTAAATATCTTCGGGGGTTGTATCGGACTCTAATGGACGGTTCTTTCATGTTGGTGCGTGAGTCGGATTCGGTAGCAGCTACGGGGAGGTGAACAGAGATCGAAGTGTTGGCATTCTTCGAATTTCGTCCTGCCCAACGTGGGAGTAATGGAATTGATATCTATGGGGTTCGGTAGTTTTTTGCCCGTCGTCGGTGCGACCGCAGAAACGGCGCGTCAGTGTGTCCCTGCCATCAACCTTCTTCTGGAGGTGTAAGAGAGTTCTGTTCGGGGGTGCTCGGCGATACCGGAGATAATGATCTGCAGGGATCCTGGGGGTTAGGTAGCTTTGTTGTGTGGTGGTAGGGCAGTTGGGCGGCGGCTCTCCCCGGCTAGGATCCTCGTTCTCTTCCTCTCTACTCTCGCCGACCTCTCAGTATATATCATGGTCGCCGGGTTAACCGTGTCTCTCTATGCGTCTGCCCAAATGCTGTCCGCCTCCAAACATGATTGCAGAAAGCGATAGCGGAGAAAACTGTTCTCGAGATAGACTTTTCGCAGAGAAAGAGGACGCCCATGGTCGTTGTGGTTTGAAGCTTGAACAGTTTGGCGCTGACGAGCCCGAAGTGGAAGGGTCAATTCGGTCGGTCGTTGGATATAATAGGAAGCTTGACGTGATTGGTGGCGCATCAAACTCGTCCGGATATTCTGAACGCGGTGCGGGCCATTGCGAGGTACACCCACGAAACGGTTGTACTGGCACGCGGCGTCGCATGTGATGCATTGTAGGTACCCGTGTGGGTTCGGTATCCCTTTTCAGCGAGGAATAGGTGGGGGTGAGCGCGTGGAGCTGACTGGCTGTCGATTCGGATTTCGCCAGCAAGGACGCCGATCGGCGGTCTGTTTCCTGGTGTGTTGGCGATTTGCTGGGGCATGAGTAGCACGCAAAGGAGCGTTACCCTGTCCTCGACGGAGGACGAGTGAGTCGCTCTGTCGGAAAGGATTAAGGAAGCTTTTTTTTGTGCGGTGTGCACGGAGTTCTCTATTTTTTCGGGCCGGGATTGTTGTTGTTGTTGTTGTTGTTTTCTTCACACTATGTTGAAGCTAATCACTTTGCGAGAATACCCTGAATTCAAAGCACATTGACAGTGTTCGACATCGTATTGTCCGAGGCGTGTAGCACGGGGGGAACTTAAGGTATTTCGTGGTGCGATCAGACTTTCGACATGCGAATTTTCAGGCAAAACTGCTGGCTAAGGAAGCTTTTCACGCCCACCGCGATTTCGTGTTGAATCTGCGTTGATTTTCTTTTGCGCCACGTTTCCCCCATTCTAGTTTCAATGCGGCTGTCGTCGTTGCTGTGTAGACATGTGCACGTATTCTGTTTAGCGCGCGGGGGGGGGGGGG